TCTGCAAGCCGCTTACAGAGCTTACAACGGAGCAGGGAAGTGGGAACTAACTGTACAGTGCGAGAAATAGTTGAAACGAAGTGAACGTTTAATATTTCATGGTCGTTTGGATATCATTTTTCTAATTCACAGGGTCACATTGTAATGAAGGAGTTTAACATAAAAGCACCTTGCATAAAAGAGACAAGATTACAAACAAACGGTGAATTTGGAGAACTTCAGTCGCTGTTCGCATGTTCACAAGTCAAATTTACATTGGCACTGCATGATTTTCGTCACGGTTAGTCTTTTAATTTCAGCTTCCTTTTCTGTAAGCGGCTTACACGAAATCTTACGCTGAAAACCTGTCCGTAAATCGTGCCTGGTATATTCTGTTATACTGGCTACAGTTAACACAGATTAACCGTTAAACATTTTTTAAGGGGATCAGCCATCAGTCTCTGAAGTACCTTGCCATTTCCTCTTTCGTTCATATTCGTGACCTGACGCATGTCACGCGCGACTCGTTACACGGCTCATCAGTGAAAAGATGGAGGGACAAACGTTGATGTTTGTCTTTTTCCTTACGTGTTCTGTATTAGTAGTCAGTAAAAAATTTCCAGCAGTTAGTTCCAGAGACTTAAAAGGAAGGCAAGGTTATGATCGACAAAGAACATTCAACAGTGAGTTTCGTTCACCTCCTAGGAAACGTTATTCCCGGTACATGTTTTCAGGACCAGAAAAGAGGTCTTTAAATTCAGAAACTTCCGATCAGGACCGTAAGGTGAGATTTAAAAACAGGTTCAAAGTCTTTTTAGTGTTTTTTTGGTGTATTTTGTCTACTTAGTGTGTTGAAATTACTATCACTGTGGGAGTACGCGGAGTCCAATTTAAATATATTGAACGTGGACTATAAGCACTCTCTTCTTATGTCGCACCTTTGGTTATTTTCCAAAAGGAAAATCGATAAATAAATAGTCACCCCTTCTCGAATAAGCCCTTCTTCCTTAAATTAAAAATGCTAAAAGCGAATAATAGGTGGCCAGGGCGTATCAAGTCATTGCAATGGCTCCTATTTAAATGTAAGTTCCTTTTCATAATTTAGTATCCGCTTTCTGTGAGTTGTCTAATTTGTACACTCTGCATTAGGATTAACGATAGTGTACGCATTTCAAGGAAACATTGCCACCGATATCAAGCACAGCAAGCTTTGGAAAAGATTCACCTGAAGAAAAAAGTGTATAACGTCTTAAGTAACAGAATTTCTGTTTTGTTTTCTCCGACAAGTTCTTCATTATGAGGTAGAAATCCTTATATTTGCCCTCTCTTTTTTCCGGTAGCTCAAAGATTTGAATGGCAACGAAGGGAGACTCTCTGGTGCAACTAGAGCGAAAAGATCAACGGCCGACCATCCACAGAAAGGTATGGACAAATGGACGGGGCCGTCCAAAAAATCCTGGGATGTTTTCTAAGTGGTTTCATCGGGATGGAATCACATCCAGAGTACAGCTTTCTTAGGGAAACTGATAAGAACGTTTATTCAGTCGGGGCTGAAACCACTGGGGCCAAACCACCCCTCAAATCAGTCATTTAGGCGAAATTTACGTTTCTTTAAATTTACAGTTCTTTTCATTTCTTGGCCCAAACTAGCCCGCGAACAGCAGACGTATTTCCGGTCACAGGCTAGGTTGACCGGGCTGGCCCAGTTTCCAAGATCACGCCGTACCTGTAAATCCTTAGTAATATTTTTGATGTGTTCATATGAGAGGGAGCGCTTGTTTTCCGAGATCTCGGTTTTTCCAACCGAAATCTCGGTAAGCAGGTTAGGAATTTTGCCATATGAACACTTCATCCCGCTTACCGCGGATGAAAGCGGGATGAATTATTCTGGCGGTACGGATGGCATCGTCTTGCATTGCCTGCTGTATTTCCACATCATAAGCACTCCATTTAACTGCATTGATACAGCTTTAGGAGTTGAAGAAACTATAAATAGGCGTGAAAGTTAAAATTTTTGTGCTTCGCCATGTTTGATTTGTTTCTCGTATTTGGCAAAAGAACTCGTCCCCACGATCTCTGGCCTTTTCTCATCTCGGAAACCAAGCTCAAATTTCTCATATAAACCATTCATCTCCAGTCTCCTCCTCAGGCGCTTCGTTTTTCGCATGGCAGAGGCGAGCGCGAAACGCGAGTGACTGGTGATGAACCGCAAGGGACCATGGGAAGGGTACAGATGGTAGGCGAAGCGCGTCTCGCCCGTTGTCTCCTTCCCGCCTTCCTTTGCGCGCACATTTTCATCAAAAGAGAGACGTCTGGGTACGAGGCAGATTCATCTCGGTCACTCAGCCAGCCCGGCCGACCGGGCTTATCTCAGGCCCGACGTAAGGCATGACTACCTAATTAAATATGTATAGTTTGTAAAATAAATGCTAGTTTGCTTCTATCAGTTATACTGAAAAGTGAACTACATAATGTGGCTTAACGAAAAAACACGTAAAACGTGATTTCAAATAACATGTGACATTGCTTCAATGACGTCACAAAACACGTGTTCCTAAATGGGGAAGGGTTACAAATCTTAATCTTAGGAATTTTCGCCACCCAAATGTTACGTAAACAGTATAAATCGTAAATGCGCGTTGCATGATTGGAAAGGTTATTTATCCTATTAGCTATTTAACTAATTAACGAGTCACGCGACCCTTTTCCCTTTATTAACCGATTCCTATATTACGTAAACACACATTTCAGGCGAATTATTCAGAACCTTGTTAATAGCCTCTGAAATTTACCTAAAAGAACTTGTTGCTCTGTCGTTTTCTTTTAATTTCCTATTTTAGAGTAAATATTTTGACCGTGAATTCTCAATAATTTATAAGTCACGTGACGAAAATTTCATGTCTCACATCATTGCTAAAGCCATTAAACTGCATTTCTAGTCCAATTTTCAAGGTCATTGATATAAGCAAACCGTTCTAATATGCATATTTAATTAGGCACGAGATATGAAGAGGCCCTAAGTTTTTGTTTGGTGCAAACCTTGTTTGACGCAAACCTGTTGACATAAACCTTTCATTGTTGCCCAAAATCGTATCTATTTATTTATATTTGCGTTTTTTGACTTCCGCAAAAACAAAAACAAATCACGTGATATTTTAATGACGTCGCAAAACTGTTGTTTTAGTTTTTGTGCAGTTAGGAATTTCCTTTTTCAAACTTTCTTTTTCCTTTAGCTTTCGACAATAAAGATGTGTTATTTTTGTATTAAATAGTAATGGTGACTCGAGAATAACAGGCTTAAATTAAGACTTATTTTACAAGGGGAGTACAAATTGATCCATATTCAAAATGTCATATCTCAGCTCATATTTGAGATACTGGAAAACATTTTTTCAGCTTTTAGCTCCCCCTAAATAGCTCTTTTGAAACTGATATAAAAATAGGAACATTCTAAAGCTTAAAATTTACGTATGAATGGCTTCAGCAATTTTGCGTCATTTTTGACATTTTGATGTCAAAATATAGGCCAATTTGATTGGCTCAACATTTTGTACATTCAGGCCAAGTTTGTCAAGGAAAGAGTCAAAGTAAACAAATTTTTCCCAATTATCCAAAATTTAGGACACTTTATGGTCAATTTAGGGGGTGGTTCGGTCCTGGCGTGATAAGGAAGAGCTGAGTAAGAACTGACTCGAAGTTCCATAGCCATTTCTAACCCGGCTAAAATCGTATAATCGCAGGTTAAAATAGTTTCATTTCTCTGCTACTGCGCACGCCTGTTACCCTAGCCTGCGCCACATACGAAACTAAACTCTGGTTAACAGCGCCGAAATCCTTCTTCTGTCCCCACCTGTGTAACCTGTTTACCAGTATCCTAGTACGTGCTATTATTTGTCTGTTAAAAGTCCATCGAAACATCCTTTAAACTTCACTGCCTCAAAGGTTAGAGGCCTCTTTGTGCTGTAGGGAGGCTAAGGAGAAAGACAAAGAAAGCGCGCGGGGCATACCCAGAAGAGGCTTGATTGAGGAGGAGGGAGGACGGAATCCGGCGGAGGGCTCTCATATGAAAGGGGCGGGAATGTTCTTCGAAAATTTGGAATGAAACCCTTAAAGGAGACTAATCTGGGGATGGCCCAACCTTTTTTGACATCTAAAAGAAGTTTGATTACATGAATCGAGTAAATGAAACGAAAAGAAAATATATAATTTTTTTTATATTTCTTCGCGTGAAACCATGAAAGAGACCTTTACGGCTAAAAATAATGGCGTCTTTTCCCACAAATGTACCCCCCAAAGCTAGAGGACGAGTATCCATGCCCCTTTCATATCGGAAAGAAAGAAAATGGACCGAAATGTGAACTGACATCCGGAGAACAAATATATGTGGATCCTCTGGGGAAATTAAAAAAAAGAAAAAAGAAAAGTGGCATAAGCTGTATGATGTCTATTTACCTCTCATGAGACTGCGCACGAGTATGAATTCTCGGAACGACATCTTCGGTCAGCGCATGCCAGCGGTTGTTGTTGTTTATTACATGCCATACTTGTTTTATCATATGGAACTCCTCACTGCTGATGAGCTTTAGGAAAGAGCTGAGTAAGAACTGACTCGAATACTCGAAGTTGCTCTAGTCTACGATTATGCCCTCCCTAAAAGTCACCTATCTTATTTCCACCCTCTGTCAAGCAATGCCGGTTAAACTATTACACTGCGCACATCTGGACATGAAAAGGAGGCTCCAAAGCTGGACTAAGGTTCTCACGCTATTGGTGGTAAAGCGCTTCAGCACGTCATTCAACTGATATTGCGCATTAGCCACACGCCAATCAATGCGCAACTTCCGGTCGGAAAATTGTTCAATATACTTCCTCAACATCTCTCCAATGATAAATCGCAATACGTAACCAACATTTCCTTTCTTTCTGTTTCAGAAGTACCTGCATTCCTTTTGTACATTGTTGGTACTGCTATAAAAAAACTAACATTAGATAATAATGCCGAGAGCACACTTGTGCAGCTGAATGGTCCCCCGTCGCCATTATTCTTAGACTTTCATTACAAAGAAAACCGTTTGTATTGGGCGGATATAAATTCCATTCATAGTTCCTTCCTGAATAATGGAACTGGTAAGTGCAGCATGCAGTTTTTTTAAAAAAATTATTCGCCATAACTGGGTCTTTACCTTTCTCTTGTTGAGGTATTAAAATGGAAGAAAATTCCTTTTCTTGAGGGTGAATGTGGGAAGAAAAAACGGGGGGAGAACTATGTTGTCTTGCTGCTTTTGATTTTTTTGAAGGGTTGGAAAAAGACCTCATACATAGGGAGATATCTATTAACCCACCCCCATCGTGGTACAGGAGGTGAGGTTAATGGAACCCCTCCCCAGAGTTTATAATATAATGAATTATTTCGAAACGATTTTGCCTTCAGTAAAAAGCCTTTGATCTTCTCTACAAGATGAGTTATATTTAATGGAAGGTGGCGCTGCTGGAGGCCTCTGACGTCACCGACGATGGTCGCCGTCTTGGATTTTACAAAGAATTAGAAATCATGTTTCAAACCCCGATAAAGCGCAATTGTTTGTGCTTGACGTGTAAAATAACACATAAATAAGCACTTTGCATCATTTCATCCACAAGTTTTACTTTTATTGTTGAAAGAAGTAGAAAAAGCGTGCATTTTCAGTCAAAAATGGCTTGACCACTTGCTACTTATGACGTCATATTTCGTAACCATAGTAACTGACCATCACTAAACTTGCCTCAAAATGCGCGCCAGGGATAAACAAACAGCCATTGAAAACGTCAGGTGCTGATGTTTTATCCTTTAGGACAAAATTCAAAAAAACCTCTTAGGGGGTTGGCAATCACTCTCCCCCCACCCTCCTTGTTCGTCCGACGGTTATGGAATAGCCCTACATCATCTTAATTGGCTGCAAACCTCGATAACCAAAACTCCCGAAAGAATCTTGTTTAATAATGAAATTTCTAATCTGAAGCAAGGGTTTTCAGATTTTTACATTAGTTAGCAAATCTCGATGATGAATACTTTCGCGATGTCGTTAGCCTCATATCTCCCCCCGCGAGCCTACACGTCATTAACGTTGTTGACCCTTTGGCTGTTATAGGTATTCAAACCCTTCACAGAAATCAGCCTGCCATTAAAGGATTAGCGGTTGACTGGGTTGGCAATAACATATATTGGCTTGTTCAGGATCGTGTAATGGTTTCCAGAACAGATGGACGCTATCTTAAGACCCTGAGACTAGATTCTACCATGGATAGAAATCTTATGCTTGATCCTGAAAGAGGGTAGGCGTACATACGTTTTTATTACTTAATTTTCGAAATATCAAAACTGTTCCAACGATGCTATGAAAACACTTTTACACCAGCAATGAAAGCGGGAGACTTTTGAATTTCATTAAACTGGTTCAATTTCAAACTGAAAAGATATCAGATTCGAGATAATTAAAGAGCATGTCAAAAATGTGAGAAGCGCAGCTTCGGCAGTGTTAAAGGTAGTTGTAGACAAAGTGGCAGCGGCAGTGGCAGTGCTACCAGGCAATGGCAAAGGCAGTTGAAGTGGAAATGGAAGCGTAACTGGCGGTTGCAGTGGCAGCTGTAGTGGTAGTAGTGGTCACGGTGGCGGTGGCAGTGCTAGTGGAAATGCTACTGGTAATGCTGGTGGCAGTGGCAATTTCAATGGTAGCTGAAGTGACAGCGTAAGTGGTAGTAGCAGCGGTAATGGCGGTGACAATGGCTATGGCGGTGGCTGTGGTAGTGAAAAGGGAAGCGGCATGGAAGCAGCAATGAAAGCAACAGCGTAAGTGGCAGTGGCGGCGGCAGTGGTAGTGGTAGTAGTAGAGTTGGTAGTTCCTATCGAATATAATAAAAACGGAGGTTTAAATTAATATTTAACAGTGGCTTGTATACCATGAAGCTACCTCGGGTAATTTTTTGGGGTTGTTTTGTATTGTGATTCGCATTTCAGGTTCATGTATTGGTTTTCTTCAACGGATACCGAACACAAGATAATGAGAGTTCCCATGTATGGAGAAAGAGAGGTCAATATTCTACGAAATTTACCCGTGGACACACACTTTGCCATTGATTACTACGACCGGAAAATTTACTGGACACAAGGTGAACAACTTTTTGCAGAGATAAGATATTACAAGTTGGATACAGATGACATACCCGATGATGAGGTAATTAGATCACTATCGAGACAATTTGTTGTTTAAACGTTGAGAAAGACATGTACGTTAGTAAGAATGACCGCATCACCAACGGATACAATTCCCCCCCACCCCCATCATACATCAGAAAACGTACCATTTTCGAATTCCTTCTATTGACAGACGGTACCCAATTACTAAACATATGAGCAATGTTAGGTCCTTAGGTTGATAAAGAAACAGCTTTAAACACCATGACTCAACGATGCTTACGATGCAAATTTACCTACCTTAAATAAGGTTCGTCATGCATGTACCAATCAACGGCAATTAACCAAGGTGCAACTGATAGTCCTGCACAGCAGACCTAAACCAGCGACCAGGAGCAGCACTACGCACGGGATAGAAATGCCGCGATTATTCTGAAACGAACGATTAACGAGCCTATCATACACAACAACCGCGGCAAGTAATATCTTATACATTACATTGACGATTGGCGATGGTCTCACCCCCTGGTACGTCCGCCAGAGAATGAAAGCTTTCCAAACAAACCTACTCATGATATCATAAACTAGCTTGTAATAGTTGACACTGCAGCTGCCCCCGCTCTGTATATTGTCGGTCAATAGCATTCTTGCTCGTTGTGTAGCTCTTTGAAATATACCGATTCATAAGGAAGATGTTCACACATATTCCATACAATAGGTGAGATAAATACCCCGGGGGGGCACTTGGGTAATTTTGGGGGTGGGTATGTGCCACCCGGGCCTCCAAATTGGTTCCCCGTTCTAAAAAAAAATGTCCCCTAAAATTGATACCTTGTTCTAGAAATGGGCCAATTTTTCATACCCCGTTCTAGAATTCGCCCTAAAACTGATACCCCGTTCTAGAAATGGGCCATTTTTTTATTCTCCGTTCTAGGGTGCAACAAGAGTATAACAGTTTGCTTGTTAACGCATTGAACCGTATTTGTCCTTGAATAATTTCAAATGGCTGCTTACAAAACTGGAGCTTTCGTGCGTTCGAATATTATACCCTGTTCTAGAAAACGCCTCTGAAATGGATACCCCGTTCTAAACCAGGAGCTTCAAAATCACGACCCCGTTGGGCAGCACATACCCGTATAGGTAATGTGTGGTAGTACCCCCCCCCCCCTCCCCCCCCCCCCCGGGATAAATACGTGCAGGAAACGCAAGGTTCGATGCACCGTTTCAGGTCGGTTTATACAGCTTTGATCAAAATATTTTCAGTTTCGAGAATCGTAAGAAAAGATTTAATTAGAAGTTGAATTCTTCGCTATTTCTCTTTCCCTTTTTACATTCGGTTCTTTTTATTTGCCGGAAAGGAAGCCCTAGAAATTAAAAGGACGTTTGATCGATTCGTACTCGCGCATTCTAGTCTTATTTTAACCTTTATAACGGAAGGACATCTATGAGCAGGGAATAAGTCAGCACAGAATTTGATTGTTGGCGAATTTCTGTAATCGTCCATCTTTCTGCTAGTAAGAAGCTAGCCGTTGTTCACTCGTCTTGCTTGTTTGGGGCTGAGTCTTATTCCGGTCAAAGAGAGAGAAAGAGTGTCTGGCAAGGTTTCCAGTGAAAGATTTGTGAACTCGTGTCTGGCAAACTCTCCAAGTGTTTATATATACACAGTTATACGCACCTTATAACTTCTTTTGCTCTTAACGAGTGTCGTTAAAATTGTGGCCCATAACTTTCACTGAAACAACTGCTTCAAAGAATGTCACTGATACCACGAAACGCAAAAGAGTGTCGAGATATGACTGCACAATAAATGTCACAAAATTTACCTAAGCGGTCCCTTGGGGATGTTCTGTCTTTACGTCATCCTAACAATTTCGTGCTTGCGGGCGCAAACAATAGAAACGTCATCATTACCTACCGATTCCTCCCGGCCCCTGTTCAAGCAAATCGAGACTTTTTCTATATTGACTGTATGACTGTATATTTCAACTGTAAGTACTTTCCTTAATATACGCGCGAGTTACTAGAGTGCCTCCTCGGGATTTCGCCTGCTGGGCGAGATCCCTGCGGGAGCAAAAAAAACTTATACATCGTTAATATAAGTCAGAATTTCCTGATTTTGAGTTTACTTGGTCTAAAAATTTTTCTCAGGATGGCCGGACAATTCTTGTCCTTTATAAACCAGAGTCATTAGCAGTTTCTGAGGAGTACGTCTACTGGATCGACGTGACAGAAAACTCAATTAATAGAGCAAATAAAACAGTTAGCCATCGCCTAAAGAATATCTCCATTATAACGAAAAATGTTACAAGTGGAAACATAATAACTGGAAAAAGTCTCAAGCTGGTACAATGGGACATACAGAAAGGTAAATACCTTTCAGACCCCTTTTTTTTTTTGGTTTCAAAAATTAATCAGGGATGTTGGGGAGTGTCCAAACACTTTTTAATTACTCTAAACAGAAGGAACTGACTTTTTTCAACTTGTCTGTGATAGGTTTAGGTTTTTTCTTTAAGTTATTGCCTTAGACTTTTGCGATTTTGAAAGCTAATGAGTTTTTTTAAGTTGGTGGCTTAGGATTTGTCTATTTTGAATACTGCTTAGTTAAATGTTTTTTACAACAGATTTTGTGAGAAGCGATGCATGCACGACACGGAAATATTGTTCACATTTCTGCTTTCCTGACCCAAGTGCCCACCTTTCTCGCTGTGAATGTCCTGAAAACACAACAGCTGTTGGAGTGAGATACTGGAACAGGACATGTGTCTGTCCGAGAGGTCAGTTCATGGACGTGAATGGATACTGTACGTACGGTAAGTATAATTACCCTGATCATTTTTCCCAATCATAACATATTTAATCAAGATATCCTATTATGATCTCTTGATTTAATACAGTTTTCCTCGATCTATCTTACACAACTGACTTAAAATTGAGAAATATTACACCACTAACATCGCCATGGTACAATAACATTGCAAAGGTACAGTTACATGACACTATACGCTCTATTCGGATTCCAGAGGCACTGTCGGTATTCTTAGTCGCTGCCGGGCCGGGTTCTTCAAAGCAGGGTTAACATAACCCGGGGTTAGTGCCAAATTTGAATTTAGGTATGGAAGATTAAAAAGCAAATTCAGTTTTATTCTATAATAACGCGGATAACGTAATAGCTTTTTTATCCTTTTTCGCATCAATGAATTACGGTGAAATTTCATGAAGATATAACGTCACGTGCTATTTTTATGTGGTTTTACCTGTTTGACTTGTTTTTTTAGTTATTTTTAGGTCCAGGAATGTTCAACTTTTTTGCTTGACTAAAAAATACGAAAAACATCCGTATTATAGTACTAACCAGTGTTAGTAAGACTTATATCCCTAACTGTTTTTGATTTGGAAAGTTGATGCCCCTTGGAATGTTGTTGCAACTCCACTGAATAACACAGCTATAAAACTGTCTTGGCTGCGACCAAAAGTTTCCAGATCAGACCAAATGGTGAGTAAACATTGATTGCAAGAGTTAGATTAGTTACAGAAAAAACATTCTTCAGCATAATCGTCTCATGATGGTACAGCAGTTCACGAGAGCTTATCTACTCGTCTTCTTCATGACTAAAATTGCCATACTTGAAACAAACTGAAAGTTCACAAAGAACAGCAGAAAAAATACTAAAAAATTACGCAGGGTTCAATTTAATGAAAGTTTTACAAGTGTAATTTACAAGTGTAGCTGTTGTTTTCAGACCTAAAACAATAGTAAACATGTAAATTTCACTTGTAAGGGTTTTTTTTTTAAATAAACTGACACCAGGGACTGTTTTCTCTCAAATCGCCCCATATATCAAAAGGGAATTAGTGGGATTCCGGACTCCTTCACCTGATTTTCAGATTCCAAAGCCCAGGATTCCAGATTCCACAGGCAAAAATTTCCCGATTCCAGATTCTGCAAGCAAAAATGTCACGGATTCCGTAATCTGGGTTCCCTTTAGGCTGCATTCATTATGTATACCAAATGAGGGAAAAGGGGGGATTGTAAAAATTTCTGAAGGTAGGAAGAAGGGATGCCAATTTTTTCTAAAGCAATTGATAAACCACTTCCCAAGTAAATTTTCTTATTTTCTAGTTCAATGAAGGATGTCTTTATTACT